AAAAAATAGAGAATAATTCTCTTTGCTTCTGGAAGAAAAACTAAAGCCCACACACAAAAAAGGTCCACAATCAGAAGCTGAGCCAGGCCCCTGACTTCCAGGCCTGGCTGTTTTCTGCCAGCTTGTGGTTCCTTTCTACTAGGCCAAGTGCATAGGACCAGGAGGCTGAAAACTGACTGTAAACCCCAGCCTGCAGACAAGGAGGCCCTGGTTCCGAGGGTGAGAACAGCTTCTGTGAGCTTCATTTAAACTCTGGGATTTTGCTAATAGCCCAGGGCCAACCTACTAGGACGAGTTCCTCTAGTCTCCACCACAGGGTTAGGACAGATCAGCTGTTCATTGCCAGAGCTGGCTACTCAACCCCTGTTGGCCCCAGGAGGGAGTTGGTTACAGCTGAGAGATGGGCACATAACCCCAGGGGCAAGCACCCAGCACAGAGCCTCTGAGCTGAACCTGCTAATGAGAACTAGCTTCCCTGACTGAGACCTCACCCCTGCTCCCGGATTGTAGGTTAGGCCAGATGAAGATAGCCCTCCTGCCTTCTTCAGGCCCTTCCCAGGCCCACAGGAAAGGGAATGCAGGTGCCAAACTGAGTAGAATTAAGAGCCAAAGATACAAATAGAGGAATTTCTGGGGGCTCACCCAACAAGAGGCAAACCTTAGCCTCACCCAGGCCCAGCCTTCCTATCCTCTGCCTTCTTTAGGAGGGAGTAGTATTCTTAGATTGTATGGGTTATTCTGAATTCAGACTAGACACTTATCACCCACTTAACCAAAAAAAAGAAGTAATTCTCCTTCCAGTCACAAGCAAGTCTTTGTCAAGAACCTACAGAGCTGATTCAAAGAGAATACACGAAGACATGCGCTCTGATTGGTGACCATGTTCATCCCCGATAAGGGGAAGTGAGGGAAAAATAGCAATGAAGCTGCGAGCTAAGCCCTACAATGTTCAATAGACACCTGTGAACCCGGGTGGAGACCTGGTTGGCCAGCAGTGTGGCAAGACCTGGGGACTCTTGGGCCTAGAGTCAGTGACATAGCCACAAAGGACTAGAGTGGAGAGTGAAGTATCCAGCTGATAAGAAGAGAGGACATAAGCATAAAAACACCCACACTTGCAGATAATACCCACTTGACTTGGCTTCAATGACTGGATGATCAGAACTCAACTAGAAAAAGAAAGAAGAAGAAAAGTAATCTGATACAATTTGATGAACTTGACCTACAACTATGGATGAAGTAGCTCAAAAGAGGGTGAGGATCATTCCCACCCCCTCCATACACAGAGTAGACAGGGATGGGCAACTTGGACATTGGCTACCCAAAATGGGGAGGCTACAAAGGCAACAAGTGACTGGCTTACAAGCTTTCAAGAGGGAGCCTAGATCCAGAGGGCACAGAGGAAGGTAGAATCTCCACTGAGTAGTATCTAATCTGTCTGGGCGGAGCTAATGAAAGGAGATAGGGATAGGTCCCTTGTGGTACAATCATGAATAATTGTTATCAGGACTGACTGTGAGGGTTGGAAATGTAAAGGAAGACGTGGAGAGATGGAGCGGGGTTGGGGGTGGGGTGTGGGGGGGCCTTGCAGGGTATACCCTTTGGTTGGTTGATGATGCATGGAGGGGATTGTAACCATGGCAATGAAATTACATATGACAGGATGAATATAAAGCTAATGTTCTCCCATGTAAACTACCACATAATTCACAATAAAACATTAAAAACAAAAAAAACCTACAGAGCTCTAGGCAGTAGGAAGCAACAAGTTATGAAGATGCCTCTGACCACTGAGACCTGTTGTGCTCTCCTGTCCAGGCACCGGGCTGGCCCTGAGACTGTTCCCTATGGTTCATTATACAACATCCCTTTCCCAGACTTGCTCCGCAACCTCACTTTTTTCCACAAATGTTTCTAATCCTCATCACCCCCTCATGCCCAGCCCCAGGCCCTGCTCCTTCCTTCCTTTGCCACCCCCTGAATTCCTGACTCCCCTCAACTGCCTGACCAAACCACAACTCCTCCACAGGCAGGGTTTCGGCTGCAGGCGGGAGGCCTCCTCACTCACAGCTGGCCCCTTTTAGTCAGTGATTAAGCAACATTCTCTAAGAGTAAAGAAAAAAGCCCTGAGGTCTGAAGCAGCCTGGCCCCTCTTCCCTGGCTAGGCCAGTGACCCTGAAAAATAAACGCAAGAAAATTCCTAAGTGGAGTGAGCTGTTGATAACAGGACACCGCTGTCTCCAGTCTCCCCTGCAGGCTGGAAGCCATCAAAGCTCAAGTACACCTCATTGATCAGAGGAAACCCTATGGGCTTTAGCCCAGGTGGGCATGGGCCCTGTTAGCTTTGGGCTGATTCAGAGCAGCAGCAGGTCTGCTGGGCATCTCTCATTGGGTGGGTATGGGCCCATCTGGAGCCTATTATGGAACACAGATCACCCAGAACAAAGGAACCACTGACTCTCCGGCTTTGTTTCATGCAATGCAAACAGGACCATTTCCAGGGTCTGGAACCTGGGCTGGGACATCATTCCCAGGCAGGTCTCCTTTACATCACACCATCTTGCTTATGGATCCTTCTGCGCTGCGTGTGTGCGTGTGTGTGTGTGTGTGGGGGGGGTCTGCCATTTACTGAAAACCACAATGCCCTCAGTGCTTTGTTTCACACGCTCATTTCACTTTAATCATCACAACAACCCCATGAGGTAAGCACTCTCCACTGTAATCCTGAGAAAGCTCAACCAGAGAGAGATTGAGTCATTTTCTGATCGTCACCTGGATAATGAACCCCTGATCTAACTGCTTCTGCAACCTGGTGCTTCCCTGACACCCTACTGCCTCCCACTCTTTGCCCTCAAGGAGCTGCATCTTGCTGACATAGCCTTTTCTTCGAACGAAGCCCTTCTGCTGTGGTCACACTAAACTAAATGGTTTAGGAATCTGGAGAGAGGCTTGAGTGCTACGAAGGTACCCTCTTCCCACTGGCCCAGGTTCCCATCAATGCAGCAGTGTGGGGCTGGGATTCCTGGTCCACCTGACTGCTCTCACCTGCTTGATGTGTTTTGTTGGTTCCCTATTCATCCAGATTTGTGACTGGAGCAGATCTTCTTTTCTTAGTAACAAAAACATGACCATTTTAATAATTTCTAAGTGACATTCATTACAGTCACCATGCTGTGCAAACATCACCACTATCTAGTTCCAAAAGTTTTCCATCGTCCTTAAAAGAAACTTAGTGTCCCTTAAGCAGGCACTACTCACCCCTTACCCAGCTCCTGGTAACTACTTACTAACCCTTCTGTCTCTATGTGGTTGCTTATTCTAGCCATTTCTCAGATGAGGGCTTGTACAATACTTGTCCTTTTGTGTCTGGCTTCTTTCACACCATGTATTGTTTTCAAGGTTCATCACGTTATAGTGTGACTCAGAAAGTCATTTCTCTCTATGACTGATGATTGGAGCAGGCCTGGCTCAGGGTCACAGGGTCTGATGTCAACGAGCTCTGCACTCCTTCCTTTCTCTCTTCCCGGGTTGAACAGGAAAAGGAACAGAGAGAGCAACAGGCTAGCCTGCAAGGAGCTGAGGCAGGAAGAACCTAGATCTTCCTCTAAGCTCAGCTTTACCAGAGGGCTGTGACCTTTGTTGCCATTTGTTGTTGTTAAGTGCAGTCCAATCGGTTCCAACTCGTAGTGACACTGTATAGTGTTTCCAAAAAGCAACTGGTGGGTTTGAACCACTGACCCTGCAGTTAGTAGTCCAATGCTTATGGTAGAGTGCCACATTAACAAGGGATAATTTGGCTCCAAAGACTGGTGAAACTCTGGACTAAAAGTGACTTCCTCTTAAATGCTTGGATTGTGTCAGGGAGAGAGAGAAGAGAGAGCTGAGTGGAAAGTTTTCTTAACCAAGTCCTTACAGCTTGGCTCCTAGCCCCTCAGTGCCCGCCACCCCTCCCACCCCCATCCCCACCACCCAGCCCCAGCCCTGGCCAGTCCATCCCTTAGAGAGCAAGAAAGCAGCTTCTGAACGGAACAAAGAGGCCCTAAGTGTTTCCCTTCCCAGCTGCACTTCAGCCAAATGTCAAGTTGTTTACATCCCAAGGGACCAGTTCCCTGGGGTGTTGACAGGCCCAGACTGTGGGGGCGGGTCAGGTCCCCATCCCCATGGCAACAGCAGGGCCTGGGGCACCATACTCACTGCACAGGAAGCAGGATTTATGGAAGCTGTTTCCTTCACATTGAACCTCTTCCGCAAAGTAAACCGTCTTCTGGCACACTCCACATTTCTTGCCTCCTCCCCAATTCGGCATTCTATAAAAGGGACACCAAAATGGGAATTCATTTTAGAGAGAGATGGAAACATCGACTGCCCAGGAGGAAAATCAATAGGCAGAGACTGAAAAGAAAGAAAGATGAAGGCACGACTCTAAGTCCAACATTTCTTCATGCTTGCTTTCAACCACGTCCTCAAACCTGCCTCCCCCAATAGAATCAAAAGGTATTTACTGAACAACTACTATATTTTCAGAGTCCTGGTGTGGCGCTACAGGCTAATGAGCTAGACTGCAAGTCAGTTTGAACCATAAGGTCGGTGGTTTAAGCTCACCAGCCACTCTTTGGAAACCCTGTACAGGTTTGCTATGAATCGGAACTGACTCGATGGCACTTAACAACAACAATAACTATATTTTAGCCCTGTGTTACGCACTTTTTTTTTTTTTTATTCAGCTTTTGATGAAAGTTTACACAGCAAATTATGTTCCCATTTTAACAGTTTCTATACATATTGCTCCTTGGAGGCCTAGATGGCCAAACTTCATCTCTCATATGTCGGACGTATTGTCAGAAGGGACCAGTTGCTGGAGAAGGATATCATGTTTGGTAACATGGAGGGTCAGAGAAAAAGAGGAAGACCCCTAGCGAGATGGATTGGTAAAATGGCAGCATCAATGGTCTCAAGTGTGGCAACAATTGTGAGGTTGGCCCAAGATCAGGCAGAGTTTTGTTCTGTTGTGCACAGGGTCGCTGTTAGTCATACCGACTCAATAGAACCTAACAACAACAATGCATATTATTTGGAGTTCTGGTGTGGCACTGTGGGTTAATGCGCCAGATTACAAAGTTGTTTGAACTATGAGGTTGGTGGTTCAAGCTCACCAGTTGCTCCTTGGAAACTCTATATAGGATCGCTATGGGTTGGAACTGACTCGACAGTACTTAACAACAACAACACACATGTTGTTCAGTGCCATTGGTTATGTTCTCCAAATTGTGTCAACTTTCTCATTATTCCCATTCTGGTTGTTCCATTTCCATTATTCTTGTTTCCCTGCCCCTCCTGACCTCTTGTCTTTGTTTTTGGGTAAATGTGTTAGGCACTCTCGTGGTTATTTGCTGTTGAGTTGATTCCAACTCATGAAGATCCCAGGTATGTCAGAGTAGAACTGTGCTCCATAGAGTTTTCAAGGCTGTAACCTTTCCAAAGAAGATCACCAGGCTTCTCTTCCATGGCACCTTCCATGGGTAGATTTGAATCACCAGTCTTTTGGCTAGTAGTCAAATACTATCCAAGGATTCAAAGAATCTACAAAAGTATCAGATGCAAGCCCTACAAAGGAGGCTGCAGTCACAGTTAAAATAGACCATCCACCACTACATCTACTAGCATGGACAAATCTCATCAAGACATTGTGGAACAAAAGCAGCAGATCAACCAGAGTCCATATAACACAAACCCATGTGTGCAAAGTTCACAAATAGGTGAAACAAATTTACACTGAGCCCGATCACATGAGTGGATAAGCTATACAGAAAAGCAGGGTAATGGATTTCACTGTTATTTTACAGGTAGTTCTATATAAGAGAAGGAAGGGGCTGTGATTGGGTGGGAGTTGTCAGGGGGCTGCTAAAGGCACTGTCAATATGGTCACCCCATGAGTTTCACTTTATAATTAGTCTTTAAACTATACCCATATGTTTAATATACTCTTATATAAGATAGTTCACCAAAAACAAAAGTACAACAACAACAACAAAACCAGGGTTTAAAAACAGTGCAGGCAACAGACACACAAGGCATAAGTTTTTGAGCTTTAGACTGCATTAGAATTAGATGGAGGTTTTTTGCAAAACCAAATTGGCCGGTGCCTCCCCACATCCAATGAATCAAAACCTCTGAGAATGAAGCACAAGAAACTACATTTTTAATAAACCCCACAGATGAGTCCAAAGCAAGTGGCCTGGGACCCATTTTGAGATGCTCTAGGAGTCCTGGTGTGGCGCTATAGGATAAATAATGGACCACAAGGTCGGTTTGAACAGAAAGGTTGGTGGTTCAAACTCACCAGCCACTCCTCAGAGACCCTACACAGGGTCACTATGAGTTGGAACCAACTCAACAGTACTTAACAACAACCAGTACCGGTTGGGAACTGAGGTCCGGCTGTCAGAAGGATGTGATCCAATACTGATTCCACCTTGGGCAAGGTAGTCAGTCTTTTAAAGTTTTGGTTACTGTATCTGTAAAATGGGTATAAAAATAAAACCTGCTTCATGTTTTGGGTCTAAATAAGATACGGCATATTAAAGGCCCACATGCATCTTGCATATAGCAAACTTTTGGTAATCGGTAGTTATTATTAACACAGAAGCCCCCAGGTGAACCAAAGTGCAGCACAAAAGGCAAATGCCATAAGAACGTGGGGAAAGAAACAGTCTTTCTGCTGGTGAGGTCTGTTTCTCTCCTTCCAATTCAGTCATTCATTCAACAGACATGATTGAAAGAGCAAGATGACCTTCCAGCTTTTTCAACAGAAGTTTGTATGTGGGACAGGGAGGGCTAGGAAATGAAGGGGTGAAAGCCAGAGTGCAGTTCTGCCTCATGAGGCAAAAAGGAGCCTAAGGAGAAAGCTCCTTGGGACCTACGTTGCAAAAAGTTGGTATAAAAGGATGGGACATCCAGTGTCTACCTCCTGGTAACATGACTTGTGCTGGAAGCTAGAGAGTCAATGCCAAGGACAGAGAGAGACAGACGTGGTCTCTACTGACAGTGGACCCAGGCTCCACCTCAAGAAGAGGGTCCAGGTCTATTCATTACTGAGTTCCCACACCCATCACAGCACCTGGCCCATAAAGGTTGTTGTTGCTAAGTGCTGTCGAGTCAATTCCAACTCATAGCAACCCTATGTAGGTTCTGAGGAGGAGCCAGTGGGTTTGAACCACTAACATTGCAGTTAGTAGTCCATTGTTTATCCTGCAGCACCACACAGGGCTCCTAGCCCATAGATGTTATTGTGAAGTGCCCTCGAGTCAGTTCTGACCCATAGTGGTTCTGGGTAGGGTTTCTGAGGAGCATCTGGTGAGCTTGAACCGCCAACCTTGCAGTTCAAATGGCTTTGCAGTCTGGCGCATTAACCCACAGTGCCACACCAGGCCCATAGATGGGGTTCAGTAAATATCTTAGGATTGCATCTGAGATGTAGTCATACTGAAAGTTACAGCAGGGGCCAGGTCCTTTACAGAACACCTGGGACCTGGCAGAGAAGCTCAAGAATTGTGTGCAGGCTGATGCCCAGGGCTCTAGGTAAGAAAAGTGGTGTTGCTGATGCTGGTCCGCACAGGTCACTGGGGCTGGAATGACAAGGGGAGTCTTCTGAAAAATTTTGTGGCACAGAGGAGCAAGATAAATTTTCACTTCCACCACTCCGTCCCTTTCTCATTTCCTGAAGTTCTCCCTCCCTAATCTCCTGTGTTCACCTTATTCCCAGTGTCACCTCCATACCAATGACTCTCATGTATCTCTGGCCCTGACCTCTCCTCTGAGCTCAATTTCAGATGGGCACCTCCACCTGGATAGTCCACAGCCACTTCAATTTCACCATGAGGCATCTTGAACTCATTACCTTTCCTCCTATATCTATTCTTTCCCTAACTCCCTCCAGCTTTGCTTGTGGTATCACAAAATCCACTCCATTACTAGGGAATTTTACATCAGCCCTTAGAATAATGATGAGTTTTTTTTCCCTTCCCTTAGTTGTATCCCACTCAATGTTCCCCTCTACCTACCTACCATCTAAACTGTGTGCCCAGCCCTTTAAATTCTAACAACACAGGATCTAGTACATCCAATCTGTTTTCTGGCTATGAGTCGGGATGCTAACCAACCTCAAGGTCAGCAGTTCAAAACTACCAGCTGTTCCACAGGAGAAAGATGAGGCTTTCTGCTCCCATAAAGCCTTACAGCCTTGGAAACCCTATAGAGGGTCTCTATGAGTCAGAATTGACTCAGTGACACATAACCACCACCACCAATGAACTCCTGATGTGGAGCTGTAGGATAAGCACTGGACTGCAAACCACAGGTGGGCAGTACAAACTCTCCAGCTGCTCCTTGGAAACCCTATGCAGGGTCAGAGCCAACGTGATGGTACTTAACAACAACAACAACAACACATTCAGGACCCTGCATGCCTGTTAGTTTGACGTACTGTGGTGGTTTGCATGCTACTGTGATGCTGGAAGCTATGCCACCAGTATTTCAAACATCAGCAGGGTCACCCATGGTGGACAGGTTTCAGGAGAGCTTCCTGACTAAGAAGAAAGAATAGGTGGTCCACTTCTGAGGGATTAGTCCTTGAAAATTTATGAATACCAGTGAAACATTGTCTGATATAGTCCAGAAGATGAGCCTCTCAGCTTGGAAGGCACTCAAAATATCACTGAGGAAGAACTGCCTCCTCAAAGTAGAGTTGACCTTAATGACATCGATGGAACAAAGTTTCTGGGACCTTCATTTGCTGACAGAGCACATCTCAAAATGAGAAGAAACAGTTGCAAATATCCACTAATAATTAGAATGTGGAATGCACAAAGTATGAATCTTGGAAAATTGGAAGTCATTAAAAATCAAATGGAAGAAATAAAGATCAATATCCTAGACATTAGTGAGCTGAAATGGGCAGATATTGTCAATTTAAAATCAGACAATCATATGGTTTTACTATGCTAGGAATGGCATCTCATTCGTTGTCAAAAAGAGCATTTCAAATTCTAACTTGAAATACAATGCTCTCCGTGATTGGACAATATCATATTTCAGTATTAAAGGAGCCCTGGTGCTGCTGTAGGATAAGCACTAGACTGCTAACTGCAAGGTCAGCAGTTCAAACCCACCAGTCACTCCACAGAAGAAAGATGAGGTTTTCTGCTCCTGTAAAAATGTACAGCCTCAGAAACCCTCTTCAGGGTTACTAAGAGTCAGAACCAACTCCATGGCAGTGGGTGGGTTATGAGCAAAATACAAAACAAAGCAG